AACAAAGAATTCCTCAAAACCAAAATAAAGCACACTGCAAAAATAAGAGTTATATTATCTGTTGAAATACGAAATATTTTTTTTATAAGCTATGTCTCAAAAAAGTTATTAAAAAAAAAGAGTACAAGTCAAGTAAATGAGGATCTGAAAACACAGCAGACTGCAATACTGAGGTTTGAGAAGTGATGCTGCAAAGCAGTGGGAGACAGACAACATACAACAAATAGAAGCAGATAACATGAACTATGGTTTGACAGTAAGGACTTGTGGAAGCTTCAAAAGCAAAGGATTAGCATTCAACTTTGATATTCTAGGAAAGAAATTCGGCAAGGAGATCAAACATTAAATTCTAACCTCCCAGCTCCTTTCAGTGAGAAAATAAAGTAGCTATAACAAATTGGATTTACTGTACTTATGAAGTTGAGGAAATCAGTTTCTCATAAAGCAGAAAAGCTTTACAAGAGGACTATCTGAAAACGAAGGTAAGAGTCCTAAAGAAGTCAGGTTTTCCTATTTCTCAAGAAGATTTAGTTTTTGAGGAAGGATTACAGAGCCAGGCAAGGCATGTTTTCAGTTCTACTCACAAGGGGACACAAGCCACAGGTTAAATTTCCAAACCTTTGCTCAGACTCTTCTGCTTCTATTTCCTTGGACAAGCTTCCATCTGCTTTGTTCTTGACAGCAGAGGTAGAGCCCACATCTCTACAGCCTCATGCCTTCACCTGTGACCCTCTCATCCCTGCCCTTGGCCAAACACTTGTGGCAGCTCTCCTGATGCTCTCCAGCACAAACAATGTTGACCAACTAATGAAAAGCACAGACACAACTGTCATAAGCAAGTTTTTAACTAAATGGGGCAATAATTGTCTTTGGAAATGGTTCAGAGTACTCTACAAGTTAATGCCTGGAAAACAGCAATGTGGTAGGCTGTGTACCACAGAAGGGTACAGAGCATTTGCTGTAATTAAAGGCTTTCACTGTTGCAAACAGCCTTTCAGGATTGCAACTAAACTGTGGTTTACTATCTTACATAGATACATATATTATCATCCAGGTAGAAACTGCATTGCTGAATCTATATTATAGTATAGTATATTGAAATATTACAAATGGAGTACAGACATTATCAGGGCCCTGTAAGACTGAATAATTCCCAAGTAACAGCTAGAAAAATTAAAGACACCTAACTTTAAGATCTGCTAAAACATATTGTCTGTATAATTGTATAATATGAAATGTGAGCGACCCTACAATTTAATTTCTTATTTGTGCCATAATCAAAGACAGAACTCCAATCACCACAAAAGAGTTTCCTTGAGCGCCCTTCCCTCTACAAAGCACTTGAACAAGACAGTGGTATTAGAAGAAACAGAGCTATAAAAAAAAAAAGAGTAACAGTGCAAACTGAGAAATATGTTTTCAATATGTGTAAATTAACATAAATATTGAAAAGGGGTCTTACACCAGGCACAGCAGCTTGAACACAGGATAAACATATTATGAGGAAATCCATGTTAGTAAACATTTCACAAATCTCTCTTGTCATCTCAACAAAAATCACTGTAGAAGAAAAATTAATACATCCTTTAAGTTGAGTTTTTACCTTCATATATAATGCTTTCTGTTTTCCTTAGGATTCTATTTTAAAAGATTTTCTTTGTTAAAGTGATTAGCTTTTATAACATTGATGAGTCACTATCCAGGAGATGAGTCACTGTTCAGTAAATTGATGGAATCCCTTTTGTAATTGCATATCAATGCTTAACGTATAAATATCAACTTCAGATACAGAATCTCCACTTAAACCTATAAAATAGCACAGATCAGCTGGGAAATTTTGCTGCAGATAAAGGTAGCATGTAAGCTAAAAGAAAGGTGCCTGTCTGCAAACAGTCCCAGGATTGCCCGGTCAGTCCTGTGACTGATGGGGTGTGCAATCCAAACAAGTCTGGAGATCACTGCTCCAAGGTGCATCCAAGACTTCTTCACAGGACATCAGAGGATGAAGAAATGGTCTCCTTTGCAATTTTGATTATTCCAGAATCTAATTTCTGATGAATCAATCTCTCCCCCGCTGCATTTTGAATGTTAGGAAAATAAAAATGTTTTCTTCAGTTCGACACTCCATTGCTCAGAGGCTTCTCTTGGCTGTCTTCCTGTGAGTTGTTACTTTTAAGCACTGGCTTTAAGAACTGCTCCACCTCAATTGTAAAAAAAGACAGTATTTTTATAGAAGACCAGAGCCAAAAGCACTGTTCTCTAATGCTGAACTGCAAGAGTCCCGGGTAGTGGCAGACTGGGGTTGTTTCAAATTGGTATAAGCAATCACCATGTGCAAACAGTGTACTGTTTACTGGGCCATTAAATGAACAACAAAACAACCCAACAGTGTGATGCAGAAGTACAGATTGCAACTTGGGCACTAAGAGGCAGTTGGGTCACAGGTACAACCAAATTAAGCTCTAATGAATCCCAAACCACAGCTAGAAATGCTCCAAGTAGTATTTACATTTGATGGTTGATATCTTCAAAATCACATTTGTCCTATGCTTTGGAAACTTTTAGAAGTGACAGAATCATAAAATTAATCCTCCTTACTGCAACAGCAAGCATTTCTCAAGAAAGCAAATGAAAGCCATTATATACCTCACTGCCCTTATTACAACTGACAATCACTTGGCAATCTCTTAATCTGCAGAGTGTGGTAAAAGATGAAACTGTTCTTGATCAGCTACGCTTCTGTTTAAACAGGTCTGACTGACAGTCAGTTGGCCTAATGCAGCTCCACTGTTCTAACCTGATTTGCCATCAAACAACTGCCAGCAAAGGGAGATAGTCAATGGCTGGGCATTTTGTTAAGAAATCCGGATAAACTGAGACACTTTTTTTTTCCTCCCATGAATAACAAGACAAATTTTCAGCTTCACTGTTTTCCAAAAATTATCATAAAGTGGCTTTTAACTAGATGAAAATTTGTTTATCGTAGTTTGAATCCTCAAACTTCTGAGTCAATGTTAATGTTCTACAGTTTTCAGTATTCTTAATTTACTCATAGCGGCTGTTAAGACAGAAATGATTTCTAAGTTGCTTCAGTCTCCCCTTCCCACATGTATTTTACTTTCCCTTATTAAGCATAAATATGGAAAAGTTTTTCTGTAGGTAATTTAATTGATAAGCTAAGGCCTTATTGACCACCAGCATCATCTCATTTCCAGGTCAGCAACAATAAGAACCCACATTGCCAAGAAAGTCCCCCCTTCCTTTTATTTTTCAGAAGCAGACAAACAGAAACTCAGATGCTGCCCAAATCCATTAGTTTGTTGAAAATGTATGGAAAACACTTTGACTTGCATGCCTTTAAAATACCAGTTTGAAAATATCAATAAATGCTCAAAAAAAACCCATAGTAGAACTTTCTACCTTAACAACAACAGCCAGTTGGGATAGAATAGCAACATTAAAAAGAAAATATTGAATGTTTATTTATAATAAATTCCATTACACAGAAAATGATCCTAAATCAGATCCCCAGTGTTTTACAAATATTAATAACTCTGATAGAATCACAATCCCAAACTTGCTCTTAGCTGCTGGTAAGGAATCTAGAGAATACAGAATACATTCATGACTTCAAAAGGCTACAAATGGTAGGAGAGCAAAAGACTAGGAATGAAATTCCATCAGTGCTGTTCTAAAACAGCCAGACCATAAAAAGCAATTGGCTAAAACTCATGCATCAGTCCAGATACATTAGCGATAGAAGATACTCTGCTGCAAGGTCAGCACTTCATCCTTGGTCAAGAATAGAATAAAATAAACATAAAGCAAACAAAATACAAGTATAGAAGAACAATTACAAGACGTTAATTAGGACTGTTGTTCATCATTAGAAACCAGTTAGTGTTCCTTCCCCCTTTCCTCTCCCACATGAGGAGCTATCGGCTCTTAACACGGTTTAAGAAGGGTTCATCTGACAGGCACTCAACACTTAAGGTCATAACAATGCAAAAAACCTCCCCCCCAGATATCCAGTGTAGTCCAGGCTCCTGACTACAGCATCTCAAAACAACTATACAAGAACACACTGTCAAGATACAATAGAAGCTGCTCCACAACTTAAGCCTTTACATACAAAAGCCAGCAACCAAAATTAAAGCCCAAAGATTGATATCTATACAACAATCCAATTGCATACAGCCCAGCTAAAAAGAAGCATTCAAAACTTCCAAACAGAGTGGGTTTAAATGAGCTCACTGCTCCCTCCCAATAACACTTCTGCCTGACGCTCAGACATACTCAGGCAGGTCAAAGAAGTATATCATGAGTTGTAAACTATCAGGAACAAGATAGGGCTGTGAGGATGTACTACCTAAGGGTTGCAAGACACTTGAACACTTAACATATTAAGAGTCACCGTTACTATTAAAAAAATTAAGACTTGTTTTGTTATTTGAGTCTTTTGCATTGCATTAAATGCAAGTTAGAGTATTTTTAGGATTACCAGATGAACTTCTATTGTGTGCAAGACCTACTCGGATAAAATAGAACCCACATAAAGAAAGAAAATAAGTAGTTCTCTGCCCTCTCCTGCCTCCCTGTTCCCTGCTTTACTTTTTAAAACCAATATTCAAAAGGAAGTTATTTCTAATAATGTCTTTTTTTTTTTTTTTTTAAAAGAGTAGCCTTAAAGCTGGAATTAATGAAATATGAGCAACATTTCACAAAAATGTGTCAAAAATGTAAGAAAGTTTAGTCTAATCAGTTTTAGATTTGCAGAAAAAAGTTCAGTTATTCAGACTTACACAAACACACTTTTTCCAAGGGAGGCATTTCTGAGTATAAGAATTGTCAGAAAAAAAAACAAAAGCTGAGATATATTAATTTCTTTAAGTTTGACTCATTTCCACAGATCAGAAGTTCTTCATAGTGCATACTTAAATTTGAATTAAATAAATTTACTAATTCTGCTTTCACAATGTTTCTCCATTATACTAACTTACAACTGGTCTTGCAGTTCCATAATGATATATTCCAGCTGTTCCTTCTCCATTTTATGGGCTAGATCCATATCTTCAATTCTTTGTAGAAGCAGTTTATTCTGTGAGACAGACTCAGATAGCTGGTTTTCTCTGAGTCGTACCAACTCCTCAAGGTAACCCTGGAAATAAAAGTGTTAGAAAGTTTTAAAGAACATTCAAACAGAGAAGTTTTCCTTATGTATGTTCATGTTTTTCTTGTTTATTTTAAATAGAACTGTATAAATTTTACTCTGATCACTAAGTTGACCCAAAATTAATAAGAAGTTTCTTAATCAATACTGAGAGAATCAAGCTCTTACCCATGTTTCAAGAATGGTGGGTGAATCAGTAAGACAGTAATGCCACAAGCATGAAACTTCCATATGCATGAAAAATGGATAGAGCGATCACTAGCACAAGAAAAAAAATCAGGACTCAACAAAAAAAAAAAGAAAAAGAATGTATCTACACTTTATCTGTGTATCTGCACAGTTAATGAAAGGGATCCCGAATTATTATAGAAAATCCAGTTGCTCTGAAAGCCTCTTTCTTGGGATAGAAAGCTGCAATATCACACTGTATGTTAAAATAACAGAAGTATAACAAAAGTGAAGACTCATCTAACATGAAAGCATAAGGTAGGAAAACTGGCGAAGGTCACTTCTAGGAACACTGGATATATAATGGTGCAACATGCATTTATATCAGTTTTCCAGCTGGTAATATTGGGGCAGTTCTAGTCACACTCCAACTAAGTAGTGCTCTGAATGTATTTAAAGGTACATTAGGACGTACTTAAGTCCCTGCCTCGCAGAAATGCCTAACAAACATTTAATGAAGATTTTAGACGTGAAGCATCAGTAACACAATAACATTAACAGTAAATATCTGCATCAATAATGACATGGGATGTGTCATCCCACCAGTGAAAGCATATAAAACTCCAGTATAAACAGTACACAAAGAATTTATGAGCTTACTACACAAATGGGAACAGCTTATACCATTCCAAAATAAGGGAGGGATAATTTCCACATAATTAACAAATGTGTAAACTATGACTCATTAATATGGACAAAAGACAACTTGGAAAAGACAAACATCCTATTTCCAGGGTGGCATGGAGAGGGCAGAAAGGAACTGACTGTTCATTTTTGAAATACAAGAGCTACACGCCATCAAATGAAGCCACTAAGAGCCAAAATCAGTAGATGGAAAAGGAGGTTGCTTTTCACACAACAGATGGTAGACATGCAGAGCACCTTGCCAAAAGAAAAGAAGTTTTAATGCTAAAACCTTGCATGTGATCAAGGGGATATTAAACAAACCATATCAGCTTCAGAAAGTTCTTCAGCTGATATGGGCTGGCCAAGAGAGTATCACAGAAGTATAAGTGCATATGTGTTTTAATTTGCTTTTATTCTTCCCTCTGCATCTACTTTGGGCAATTATCCAAGATAGGACAGTAGGGCAGACAGATCCTTGGTCTAAACCAGCACAGTGTTTTGACCCAATAAAGCAACACTATGATTTACCTCGATAAAATAGCACCTGGTCCTATCCTACTTTTCATACAACTCAGAAGATACAGATTCAAATCAATCTGATGTTTTAGTCTGGAAATGCAGACAAAATGCTGTCTTAAATACATTCCTGAGCCTCATGGACTGTTGGGGTGGGAAGAGAAAGGTTTTCAATTTTGTTTATTTGTTTGAAGCAATTCCTTAGAACGGCACGTTCTGGTTTACAAAAGCAAGGAAAACATCTTCTGTACCAGAGAGCACCACAAGGAATACAGCTCCTTCCACACTGGAAGTGGTACTGGACTGGGTGAGAAGATGGTATCACAGCAAGTTGAATGCCAACATTTAATAACAAGGAATCAGAAATAGAAAAGAAATAATTGTAAACATGTTTTAAAAGGTACTGCCCACATCTACCATCTCACAGTAAGTCTGACTTGTTCGCTTTTACTTAGAAAAACTTTAACTAGGTTCTCTCACATGCATTATAGTAACCCAATTATAATTCTGCTCATTTTGTATTAGCAGAAACTTTAAGCAGTCCATAGCTACATTTATCCTAATAATCTGAACATGTTCAGAATTCCTTCTCAGGCACACTATCTCAGTATGGGTATAACTATACTAAAACTCAAGTTCCAAATGACCAGTCTGAAGTCAGACTGTCTGTTGGGAATGATCACTGGCAAACAGTAGTTCACAAGTGGTGACCTGAGGTTATGGGTGAGAATACTAGCTGCCCCAGGCCAAGACCATGGCCAAACATTCTTATAACTTAAATACGTATGTGATTGAGATGGTACTGGGATCTGGGCCTTTGAAATAGTTACTTTATTAGCACATTAGCCATGAATATTCTCTGACATTGATCAGAGTTTACCACAGTTAACAGTTCTCAATTGCTAGAAGATTCATTCTAGATATCTTCTGATCCTCTTTTTCTTTTTTTTTTTTTTTTTCTCTCCAGTACAATAGGAAATAGGAGGGCAGAGAGGTAATTTTGTAACTCCCTAAACTAATGGAAATAATTACACCTCCACGCATCTTTATGTAGTTTCAGCCTTTCGTATGTTAACTGTGTTGAGCGTTTCAAGAAAACCAAGTTGTGACACTAAGGAGAAAAAAGTACTAAAACCACAAAGTTACTTAAAAACATTAACCATTTGTATAACACTATCTTCTCTTCCAATTTTTATTTTACTTTTCCTTTTCTTTTCCTTTCCACTATTTCTTTGTTGACTATGAATTATTCTCCTTTATGCTGTTAGCTAATACACCATTTGTATCTGTAATTTTAATACGCTACTATAATCCACCGACAAACATTTTGCTTTTTAAATGTACTGAAATGCTAAATACACTGAGAAAGTGTGTCTACACATTGCAATTCCACTTCACCTATAACTTAAGAGTTTTCTGAAGGATGGAGGGAGACCCTAACTTTGCTTTCTGTCGCAACACTCCATATGTCATATAAGCTACTCAAATCAAATACAGAACACATTCTTTCCTTTCTCATTGCAGCTTGAAGCAGGTCTTAAAACTACAAACATTTTGAAAATTTATCTCAGTATTACTTAGAAGATAATTATGCATTTAATTCCTGGACAGATTACTTTGCCAATCATTTTATTTACTGTTGAATTAATTGTTTAATGTTACTACCATAATGAAAGCTTTCAGCTGGGATATGATGAGCATTAATAAACATATAGGGTGAACTTCTAAAGAAGAAGGAAACCATGTGGACAGTCAAGTTCAATTCAAACTCACAACGGCTTCTGAGATAGACTACTTGTAAGACTGGAAAAAGCAGCTCCAAAGCTTCTACATTAGAAGCTGGTCCCTGAATTATTACTTTTCTTCCCTCTCCTGAGGCTTCTATTCCCTCAAACTGTTGAGCAATGACATTACACTTAAGACCACTTACAAGGAGCTAAATAATATTATTTTTCAGTCTTACTTAAACGGCAATGTTACCAGTTGTCTTGTGATCAGATTTGGCTCCATCTCCCCCACAGAAAACTGATCTCTTACCTTCTGTTCCAATGCGAGGCGGTACTTCTGTTCTACCCTTTTGCATTTGTTGTACCAACTGTGTTCATCCACGATGACAGGACCAATGTTCTCTGGAGTACTGCCTTCACTGCCACTACTGCCCAGCGTTCTTAGCTCTTCTTCATCACTGCTGATACTGTCAGAACTGAAGAATCATGCTTATTAGCCAAGCGAATACCTATATTAAAATGCAAATTCAACTTGAAATCGAAGCACCATTGTTGCTAAAGATATCTGAAGCTCTGTAAACCACTAATAATGGGGATAAATCAAGCACAACTTCTGTTTTGATCTTTATTTGTAAAGTCACCTGTACGCTTTACAAAAATGTACTATCATCTTAGTTGAGTCTCAGACTGGTGTCTTAGGTAAGTCAGACAAATGTATGCAGGATATTCTCCTGGAATATAAAGGATTAATGTAATACAATATGCTATCTAAGAAAGTGATGACTTAACCTTTCCTTCATGATTTCAGGGCAAACAGTAGTATCTGAACACAAACTGTACTAAAAGTAAAAATGCAGAAAATAAAAAAGTGGTTATGTTTAAAATGATTAATTTAAATGAGAGTTGTGGTTACTGTGAAAACCACGTGCCACTTATTTCACAGAGCGTAAGTATGTCCCTAGATAGCATGCAGATACAGTGTTAAAATATCTCCCCATCATCCAGAATCAACATGTGCCACAGAATTCAGACATCTGTCTCAAAGACGAGCATTTTAGTTTATCCCAATATCCATTTGAAACCTTCCATCATAACTATGCTTTTCAGTACATTAACAGTATTTACTAGGTTTTTTTAGCAGTCTAATTCCTTCTACCCCAAAATCTTAAGACTGCATAGGATTACAATATTTTATCAAATTATTTATCCTATAAAAACGTAGAAGTCATTCATTCTTTACATGCATTTTGGATTTTTTTTGCCCCAAAGTAAATGAGTATACAAGTTTATATTTAGATAGGAATAGGATTTTGAACGCAAAATGAAAATCATGAGGACCAACATGACATAAAACTTTCACTTTGTTAATTAAAAAACAATGTAGAGATAAAGAGTACCTTTCGATGAACTTCAGGTAGGGTGTGTAATCTATGACAGCTGGAAAGGTGCCATCCAATCCCTTACCCTTCAGACAAAAACTGATAAAACACAGAAACAATGGTAAGATTATATCAACAAAATTATATGATAATGAAAGATGAATCTTACCAATGCGTAATCTGATTTTTTTCTTCTTAAGGCCTATAGCATTCAACAAAGAAAACTTACCCAGCCAAAAAAGATTGTTTAATACTATAGGATAGCAAAAAAAAAAAAAAAAAAAAAAAAAAAGACAAAAAGAAATCCCTCAGAATAAGGATACAGATCAGGGCAAACAATGCAGACACTGATTTTTAAATCTTTGCTTTCATTCTAAAAATACAGGTGGATTGTGAGGGAATAACAATATAAGTAAAATTAGCTGAAACTACAACATCAGAAGAGCTGTAGATGTGTTTGAAATTGCCACTATTTAAACTCAAAGTCTCTGCAGAATGCTTACATAACCATTCTGCTATTTTTAAGTAAAAAAAAAAAATCAGTTCTCAAAAATAGTTCAGACCATTTCCTTTTGATTACTTTCTGGTGTTGGGCTGCTCTAAATGATGAACGCTAATGAAACTAACATTCACAAAATGTTCTAGAGCAGCAGTAGCTTTATAAAGATCTCATATACACTGTATTCTTTTCGTACTGGATCTAAGACAGCATTTGAATCACATTTTATTATCACAGAAGTGACAAAATTAATTACGCTTTCACAAAGAACAAATTCCTCCCTCCTCCCAGCTTTTTTTAATTTAATTCAAAAGTGCCATTTTCAACAGTGCAGTCACTTCATTGGTATCTAGGGAGAACATCAGAAAATAAAAAGACAAACAAATACAAAACAAAAAACAGCCCCTAAACTCATACTTATTTGAAGTATACCCACAATTCCACACTGCTGTGGGGAAAAAAAAATAACAATACTGTCATCATCTGGGTTTCCCCAGCTCTACTCTCAAAGCGTTTTTTACAATTCACAGAACCACAGAATGGTTTGGGTTGGAAGTGAACTTAGCTATCAGCTAGTTCCAACCCTTCTGCCATGTGTAGGTAGGTGGTTTCACTGGATCAGGCTGCCCAAAGCCCCATTCAAGCTGGCTGCAACTGCATCTTCTCCAGGCAACCTCTTCCTATGCCTCACAACCCAGTTCCACAGAGATAAGTCAGATAACATTTGTAAGAGTGTTTGAACTGAAAAAAGTAAATCAAATACAATATGCAAAGAATGGCTACACACTCCCAGCCATTTAAGTCACAATATTATGAATAATGTGGTATAGTACATGCTCCTGTAGGTCCACATTCCTTTTTTTCCCAGAAAATTTCTTGGTTCTTAAGAGCTGCAGTGACAAAAATTTTAATGCCTCCAATGGAAATAAGTCATTACTCTGAATGCTATTAAGAGATGCATACAAAATGTGTTCGTACTAGAAATCAGAGGATAAAGGAAGAGTGCGTGCACTCATACAACTAAGATCAGATACTACAGACACTACAAACCACCAAGGCTCATGGGAGACAAACAAAGTCAATTCATTATAATTTATGGCAAGATTTACACGCTGCTGATCTCCTCTTGCCACACTTCTTATTCATATATCGCTATCCTCCTTCCAAGTGTAGTATAAGTAGAAGCATTTTTATTATAGTGTAAAACTGAATGAATGAAATCTGGTAAGATTTCAATTTGCTGTATGCAAAGCTAGCTCCCTTATCATACTGCAGCATACTTCTGCTCCTCCACAACATATGGTGATCATACAGCTAATCCAAACCAATGACTAAATGCTGGCAAGAGAAACTACCCTGCTTTTTAAAATGCACACCCCATTTTAGTTTTGTTTTGTGGGTTTTTGCTGTTGTTTTTTTAAACCACAACCAGACATCCCTTTCCCCTCCTCACAGTGGTATTGCCACTTATCTGACTCCAGTATGAGTTAGCTCAGCCAGTAAGATCTTTACCTTCCCCCTCTTTGTCCCTCACGCCTTGCATGCACTTTCTAGTCCGTAGACAGCTGAAGTAAAGGCTCACTGCCACAAGAAAAGAAAGCCCTTATTTAACCTCCCCCCTTTTTTTTTTCCTTCTCTACATCAAGCTTTATGGCCACTTATATCTTCTGCAATTACACTTCTGATTGCTTTCAGGATTTTTAAAGAAATACCGCATAATCATTCTGTATTAATTATGGCATAACTGTTGTTATCCAGAAGAGCCATTCAGATCTCTCTCTCCCTCCTCCTCAGCTTTGTCTCTCATACTTATCAGCTGACCTTAACAATGTTTTCCATAACGTGTAATCGCTTTCAGGGAGCATTCTATTAAGAAGCATGCAAATACAATACCTGAAATCAATTGCATTGAGTCCCAGCAGCATACCAGCAAGCATATTTGCTTCTTCACCAAGAACAATTGCTCCATCCTCATAAAATCTCCTTCAAGAAAAGAAAAAAATTACCTCCATTAACACTACTTTGTTTCAAATAATGATTTTTTTCATGGTTAACAGAAAATTGAGAAATGCAGTTTAAATAAAAACAATCCATGTGAACCCCAGGGGCACTCATACTTCATTTCAAATAAAACAAACCAATAGACTGCACAATGCAGAACACTGTAATCTAAAACTTCAGACAGAAGATGAATTTATAACATCATCCCTAGTAAACAGTAGAAGAGGATGGACAAAATGCAAAGAAAATGACAATACCTTGTATTTTTCTGTTGAAAGGATGAAATCGCTTTGTGTACATTCAAAAAACAAATTATTCCATGGTAACAAAAAAATAAAAGTTCTAGTTACACTATCTTTCTTCTCCCAGCTACCAAAGAAGCTACTTCCAGACTGAAATGTTCCAAAGGACAGCTAATAGGGCCCACCGTTGCCATGTATGGTTTTGTGATAAGAATTTGTAAACGCTAAAAAGATGAAATGCAGTCTGTTCAGCAAAGTAGAAGCATTCAGATAATTCAGAGAGATCTCAAGTTGGCTGTATGGCAGACAACCAGAAAAGATATTTTGGATCTCAGCACCTAAGTCTGTTTGGACTCCATAGTAAATGAATACTGCAGTAAGTATGCACTTCTAACATTCCTTTGTAGTATGGAAAGGAGATATTCCAGACTCTGGATGCTCCACAGTGGAAGCAAGACATCTGAGAGACATCCTCTGGGATGATAACCTTAGTCTTGGAACTAGCATCCCTATGATGTACAGATTCTGCTTCCTAACCCTTGACTTCAGGCAAGAAAACAGAAGGCTAAAGCAGCAGCCTATCAAAGCAGAATACTGAGCTAGATGGACTTCAAAATAAGTCTATTTGCAAACTAGAAACAACACTCCCAGTACAAGTAAACCTTTTAACTGTTACTTCTAAAATCACTGCCAGGTAACAATCTGTACTGTAAGTACGTAAGTAGCTTGTAAAATGGTGCTGGGAAGCATTCAAGCAGAAAGAGACATAGCATAATTAAAACAGTAAGATGTTCTGAAATCAGCTACAGTTTTCTAGCCAAAGCTGAAGTCTCCTTGGAAAACTCACAGATCCTTGCTCAGTGCTGTAACTGACATAATACAACAGGAAAGACTGTGTGCTTTAACATAAGACTGCGCTGACCAACATTTTAGAAGAATAATTATGCACTCATGCTTAATCCAACCCCCTATCAAGTGTAACATACAGATCCAGCATTAATAATGAACTGTTTCATTGAAGTACTAGGCCTAAAGTCACCCACCTAAACAAAACAGCAAGATTTAAGAGCTGGCAATATGACAGATTCCATATACATACGTGAGATACATGCAGAGTTTATATATATAATCACTAAATACATAGCACAAGCACAATGCATCATTTAAAAATGTAAATAAGTTGGCAAAGCACCACCAAAAAAATCAAGCCACTTAACAGGTATCCAAAATACCACATGGGAAAGAGAATGCATCCATTACTGTTGGTAGATCTAAAGTCCACAGCACCAAGATTTCAAAGTGTAACTATTAATTCTAATAAACATATTTTAAATACCATTTCAAAACAAAAACTGCATATATTATGTTTGCAGCACAAGGATATTGATTCCTAACTCAATAAAACACCAAATACATTAATTTGAAACTAATAAAATGGCTAATAAAATAAGACTGCTGTTATCTCCTAGCAAACAAACTGCATTATCAAGCAGGTACAAACGTACTACTTAACTATATAGATTCTGACCCCCCTCTTCCTCCTCATCTACCTTTCAAAAACCCAAATGACTCTTCTGTTTGATGCAATGTAAGGTAAGTTTTTTTTTTTAACCAGAAATCTTTGCTTTATCAGCTTTTTGTCTACTGCAAACACAACCAAATATGGATAAAATAAAGATGATAGGACTGGAAATTTCAGTAAAACGGTGTGTTTACCAAACTGTGTTTCAAGGTCATCTTAATATTGGGAAAATAAACTGAGATCCGTGGAAAAATGTTTTAAACAGAAATAATATTCCAAATGAACAGAAGTTCTTACAGAGAACTTATTCTTTTTACTATTTCTAAAACTTATTGAGTTCAACATAAGGTTCCACAACTCGCAAAGACTCATACTTACATGTTTTCATCACAAATCAATAAGATGTCACTGTTACAGGATGAAACATTATGTAATAAATAGTTACACTACCTAGAACCAGTTCAGAATGGTGAAAATAATTTCCGTCACAAAGCATATTCTTGTAACAGTTTTTATTATCAAGTGGTACAACAAAAACCTGTTATATGTTTTTCATATTACATCAAGAATTCTAGCTATGTCTGACCATTATTCTGTTCTGTACTTCTCAAAAGCTTCCTGAATTCCCTTCCTTCTTTCTCCAAGAGAAATTCCCGGAAGTCTAAAAAATATATTTTTAATATACTGAGTCTTTCTGACATCAATACTTAATTTTGAAATTAATTATATTCATTTTATATACCTTCAAGTGCAAGGACCTGCACCTGGGTCAGGGCAATCCCAAACATCTGTACTGACTGGGGGAAGTGGACTGAGAGAGATGAATAGATGAAAAACTTAACATGAGCTAGCAACATGCACCTGAAATCCAGAAATCCAACCGTACCCTGGGCTGCATCAAAAGAAGAGTGACTAGCAGGGTGAGAGAAGTGATTCCTCCCCTCTCTTTCACTTCTGTGAGACCCCACCAGGCACTCAGTATGGCATCCAGCAGCGAGACCTCCAGCACAGGAGAAACCTGTTAGAACGGGTCCAGAAGTGCACCCACACATGTGCAGGAATACTGCTATGTTGCTTAGTCTAAATGAAAGAAGGCCCTGCAGAGATCATACTAACGCCTTCCAATGCATGAAGGGGGGCCAATGAAAGATGGGAAGGTACTCTACCACAGTGTACAGACAATGGGCAGTAAGAAAAGGGGTAATGGTTTTAAACTTAAAGAGAGTAGGTAAGAAAGAAATTCTTTACTACAAAGGTGGTTAGTACTGGACAGGTTGCCTGCAAAAGCTGTGCTTCCCCATCCCTGGAGGTGTTCAAGACCAGGCTGGATAGGACTTTTGAGCACCCTGATCTGGGTGACCCAGGCCATGGAAGGGGGGGTGGTTGATGATCTATCACTATCAGGTTACAATTTCAAAACAAGTTCCTTCTTTTGAGAGGTTTTTTTCTCTTTAACCTTTCAAGAATTACAAAAAACTTCCACATTTTACAGTCACTAAGGGATTTTTGCAATAGCAATTTTGCAGTTTTACCCACACTAAAAATCTTAGAAATTGATACTAACTCCAGATGTCTTTCACTAGGTAACATCTCTTCAACCCATACAAATTAAGTGCAGCATTCACTTCCAAATTTGAGTCTCATACTTCAGCAATAATCACTAAAATATTGCAGAAATAAAAGTCTTAGAGACCTGGTTGTTTTGAAGTCTCTCAGAGCTGTGGAAATATATTCAGACAAATGTTTTTCCATAAGTGCTACTCTGATCCAGGCTCGACCCTGCAAGAAAAAGCAGATATCAAATATTTAAACATTACAGACTGAAACGCTTAATTTTACATCTGAAACTGAATAAAATTGAATTACATGGATGACTTGATTATCAAAATTACCACTAAACAAAATTTGTTGTACTTTATTACTGCAATAATGAAAACAAAACATAAATTCTTACAAGTAAACTTTGTGAAATAAAGTTTTCCAAAATTTGGACTTAAAATTTGTGTCAACACATCTCCAGCTTTTTCAATATGGACATCCAAAATTCTTCCCATGTGCATCTTTAAAAATGCAACACTCCTATCTGTACTAGTTGCACTAATTGGCTTTTTATTACTATTATTATGTGTCATGGAGTTTTCCAGAGAATAAATGAAAGTTAAATTAATGCATAAGCATAATTGAAAAAGTAGCTTTGCATCTTATTGCTTACTGAATTTAAATATCCCTGAGTACTCCACACTGCAAAGATTTTGGAATTCAGAAATATCCTTAAAATAAGTCTCAAATGCAAGCAATACAATTGCTGCATTTTAGGATGTGAATCTCTCTAGAAAGTATCTGGAAATGAGTGCATGAACTATAAACAAAATGAAAAGGTAATAAGGTTAGGAAAAAAAAATGACATTCCTACAATTTTAACCTATCTTTGGAAGGCATGTCCACATGAATTTAATTTCTCTCAACCTAACACATTTTCCAAAAATTAAATAAGCTAGAAAACACAAAGGCAATCACTTTATGATGCAGCATACCTAACGAATGGAGAATTTGAGATTTATCCTAATGAATAACACAGATCTAAGTTTTTGCGGGAAGTTTTTTTATTGTTTTTACTTTAAAAACAAAAGAAGTATTTATTTCAAATAAAGAAAAATATCACAGGGCAAGTTTAATCATATGCTGCTGGGTTTTTTCTTTGGTATAGAAGTGTGAGCTACATTTTTCACAGAAGAAAGAGAAATGCTGCAGTAAAACTGACTTTTTTCTTCCCTACCTTAGCTCTAGAAGAACCGACATTCTCCATGTTCTCAATACTGCAGATGGAATTGTGAGAGACTTTTCGGCAAGCCACCCGAATATAGTCCCAAAAACTACGAGTACTTTCATAGCCAAACCAGGTGATCTGACCTTAAATCAAAATACAAGAAATACAAAAATATGTGAAGATTTATGAACCTTCTTCCCTGCTTGCTTAAGAGAAGCATAATTCAGATACTTTCCTGTGTTTGCTATACACACCCTACAAAGACAGCATTTTATGCTACCAACTCCACTAATTTTGGCTGCACAGGTGGCAAAAGGAACTTGCATCATGCAGCTCACTCTCAATGAAAACCAGTGTGAGAGGTAAGCATGGGGCTTTTGCCCATGTGCCTGTATTTGGTCCTCTTCTTCCTTGTCAGGACTCTATGGTAATACTCAGAGTTCTACATGGGACAGCTTACTCGCAACAAAGCACAAACCATTGTGATTCAAAACCATGATGAAAAAGAAAAGTGAGTTTTGTTCTTCATATACATGCATAGACATGCATGCAAAAAGAGCAGCCTTTGCTGTGGTAGTGTTACCCTTATCTTAGGAGTCAATTTGGAATTGTTTCATAACGTGCTTTCAGTGGAGGAGAAAAGATGAACAATCAAAAAAGTTTAGCAGTCACAATTTCCTTTACTTAGAGTACACACACAGTACACCTTGGGAAGCTGACAAAAATGAATTGAGCAAGTCAATATCACTTTTGGAGTGGTAACCAAAGCTCTTTATTATTATTACTGCTATTATTATTTACCGCTTGGAAAGTGTTACCATTAGAAATCTGCTGCATGCAAAATACATTTCAGAGGGAACACTGAAACTTAACAGCACATAACTGCAAACAAAAATGTAAAACAGTAAGAGGAATGTTGCCCTCCAGTGACTGGCATTATTGCATATTGGCATTTGGAAGTGGCTCTGGGCAGCCTGGTCTAGTGGTTGGTGACCCTGCACATAGCAGGGAGGTTGAAACTAAATGATCATCGTGGTCCTTTTCAACTCAGGCCATTCTGTGATACATGCAAAAACTTTTATTTGTGTGAAATAAGCTCTTATTTTTAGGCTAATTACATTTCACATCTTGAGTTGTATTTTCCTGAAGCTTTACTAATTTCTCAGAAAGACTTTTAATTCTTTTGCTTGTCACAAAGTTCAAACTTCAAGAAAGAATAGTACACTTCTTTGCACAATACTAAACTGACACTGCAAATCATACATACTAAAAATAAAATGCCAAAATACAATGCCAAGGATATTTGTACCTAGTACAATGTAGCTCAGCTCCAAGCACAGCCAGAGAAGTGTCAAAGATCTGACCTCAGCAATCCTAAGAAATTCAAGGTTTTGCTTTTTTTCCCCACTAGAGGATACGTACAACTTGTCTGTGTGACCCATCTGTTCACTTTGCCACGTTTATTAAGTACAAAGCTTGATAAAGGACATAAAAAAAAACAAGAAAAAACTCGTATAGAGAAACTCAATATGCTAAAAGAAAAACAAAATCCCAATGTGCTCCAGCTACAGCATATTCAGATTTTATCAGCTCTAAGGACTAAAATAAGACAGTATTCACAAGGTAACTGCTTCTATGAACTTACTATTTTTGCTGAAGCGTCATGTGCTGTGGACAGCAACAAGAATTCAACATCATTTTAACATCACCAAAAGCTAGTGATTTTTTTGTATTCTTTATCATATTAGAAACATTTCTGCCCTGAGGATTGTACCTGCAAAACTGAATGCAACTTCAGTGTGAAGGTGTCTTTATGACAGTAGTTCCAGTCCCAGCTAATAAAGGCAAGCATATCACACAATAACTTCTGTGATCTTTTCCACATGCACTGAGGACAGAATATATTCTGCAAAAAAAGACAGTTTTGCCCTATAGTTTTCTGAGGTGAAAAAAACAAATTCCTCCACAATGGAAATACGTACCAGTGCATGCCATTTATTTGGCCTACACTGATTAGCAAAGCAAGCTTGTCACAATAACAATATACTCTGGCGTAACAGAGGGCTGTGGTATCAGAAGCAGCTTTATACAAGAGTGTGACTCTTTTTGACTTCAGAAGGAATAGCCTTCACTTGAAACTCACAGCAGGAGCAGGACCTTTCATTAACCAAGGACTTCTAGTTTATCCCTGTTAGTTCACAACTTGCCTACACTCTAGCAATCAACACCATCTTAAAGAAAAGCAAGTTTTTACTGCACAGTCTGATTTCTGCTGAAGTTTGTAAGGGAACAGTAAGTTTCCTGCAGAGTCCAAAGCTGTTTCTACTCATTCACAGTCCAACTTCAGACCTGGAAAACAAAGTTCCGCAGTTGCAAAGCAGTAATGATTAGGATGCTCTAAGCTACAGGTAGATTTTCTCCAAACTTTGTTTAGTTTGCAGAAAATGTGCCCATTCTGTAAATAGTCTTAATACAATTTATTAGTAATAATATGGCTTGTTGCTCCTTTGAAGAATTGTCATGGTACGTACTCTTGTTTTAGGCCTCTGGAATGAATCGTTAAGAATTTACAGTAGTTTATATACCCAGTCCACCAAGACAAATACATACCACTTAAGATTCTTCTCTACTCAGGAGAAAGTAGAATTAGCTGAACCACAAAATGCCCAAAGAACTTCCTATTTTTTTCTAGCCAAAAGCAGTAACAGGGTCACTACGTGCATATAAATACTAAACTAGTAACAAAAGCTATTATTCTCAGAACATGTCAGGATAACATTATCAAATAAAGGGCCATCACAGCTTGGAATTCATCTTTTTCGTAACAGTAGTGACTTCAGTACTTCCTTAACATAACCTTTTCACCCCTGTTATATTACCACCTTCTTACCTCTTCTGTCTAGAGATCTGTCTCTCTCAGGATGGGTAGCACTGCAAGATGCATCTTATAGAATCATGCTTCCTCTCCTGATACCTGGGCCTATAAGCATAAGTTCTCTTTTACAGACCTAAGTCATACCCTTCCTATTTGAAATTTCTGCTTATGCTTTTAAGATATTACTAGAATTCATTGAATTTTAATACAGATTATATTAATATTCATTACTTAAAAAAGACCCTGTGAAATAGCAGTTGGCAATTAGTGACTTTTTTGACCTAAAACTAAAAAAAAAAAAAATTAAAAAAACATGTAGGAAGGGATAAGATTGCACTGAAGACTTAGAAAAGTCTGTCACTTTCAGTAATACTTTTTCCATAGTCCACACCTTACTGTGAAGAAGATAATGTCAAAACTAAATAACGTTGACCAACGACATCACTGTGTATGACTGATTATCATTATTGGCATCAGACTACATATAACATGTTTTGTCAAATGTTTTGTATAATGGGAAAAGAAAGAACTAACACATCTTTCTTTCCACTCAATCAGCACTGACCACTCTAGGGACTTACCAGTCACTGGGAGTTTTCTAAAAGTAAAAAAAAAAAAACAAAAAAACACCACAATAAAATCCAGTCACTACATGCTAGGAATAGCATAGACCAAAGAGACAGAAATAAACAGCTTCTATGGATAATTCTGGCAGAAATTTGTGATGTATTTATCTTCTCAATGTATGTACAGGATAAAAGACACGTGGAGTTGTGCAAGAGTCAAAACAGCACAGTAGAACCCACCATTTTGTGACATTGTGGTATTAATGCAACATAAGTGTACAGATGACAAGCTCACAGTAGCTATGACATGTAAAAAATGACGAGACAAGAATGATGCACTGTATTTCATGTCAGCAACAGAATCTTGGTTATATACTAAAACTACTTCTAGGCATGCATACTAGAAATTAGGATATAAACACATTTGTTGAAAGGATATTTAAATAAAAACACAGGGAGTCAACAAATATATACACATGACAATAGTTTTCAGAAATATGTCAGAGAGGATGGCTGTAAAAACCTGCAATTGTGTTGGTAGTTCTTTGCTAGCTCAGTTGAAAACTGAAGTGGTAGAAAAACACAGAAAAACATACAGCATTTTGATTTAGCAAAGCCAACATATCACTTTGAATTGGATTCAGGTTTTCAATCAGCTAGGATACATCTGTGATCAAATCCCAGGTAGTGCTACTGCACTATTTTTTTTATGCTCCTATCACATCTGCACTAACTATATTTACTCAACTGACCTGACAAAAAGGACCCCAACAAAAATACCTGAAAATTCAATCTGTGGCAGCAGTGAATAGAAGAATCCACCAAGACAGCTAAAAGATAGGCAAAATCTCCACAATACCAGATTAGGAAAGAAAAATTTCTGAACAATTGCCTAGGGCAAAAGTGATTCCTGAAATCACCTGCCTTGCTTTAGAGATGATCAGATACATACACAGTTGCATACAAATTTGTGAGATCTCCATTCAGAACTATAGCTCTTGTTTGGACCACAGACATTAAAACACGCTGTGCATCCACCCACTACTCTGCTGTATTATGAAACTATGTGAATTCTTAATCCTGAGAAGGAATAGAAGAGTAATTAGTCACTCATCTTCTTTCTGTTACTCTTTCTCTCTTGCCCTTTGAAGATCTCCAATTGCTCTGCCCAGTAATTAGCATCATACCTCACCAGAAGGCATTCCACAAAGCTTACTTTAAAGACAGGAAGTACTCACGCTTTACACCTCAGTATGATGTTGGATCTGCTCTGCATTCATAGTAAAACCAGCACATCTAGGGAGCACCAGGTACACAACACTACACAGCACAGGGATAATTACATCTGCACTTTAATGAGCAGAAGGCAGTCAATGGCTTTCAATCCCTACAAAGACAATTAATGCTTACCTAAACACCTTCTTCTGTTCCTTGGGGCAATTTAAAAACAGGCTGAGAGCTTAGACTGCTTTTTCTAATAGCTGCCTATTCCTGACTGCTACTTTCATCCTTTGTGCACATATAACCACAAGGTAGAACAGAGGTGGCCAACTTTTTGAGCGTTACTCACTATGTGACCTTCTATGGAATTATTTTGGTGTCATATGCCCCAAGTCCTCTCTATACCTCATGAACAGATAGCTGCATTCAATCAGCATTCACATCTCTGCTGGGCGAGCTGTTGTAGTTATGCCAATACCATTTTATTACTAAATAAACACCCACATCTAAGTCACTTAGGTTAAAAAAGAGTGTTTATGGGGAAAGTCATTGCTTTTCTGCCTGTTTGAATATGGTGCTCATGTTGCTTCAGTTAGCACTTTTAGCAGAAAAGCCAGAAGGCTGAGGATTGGGAAACGATTTAGCAGAGGGCTGTTAGAGTTAGGGCAATATGGTCAGGTTGCAGTTGGTCTTGATGATCTTGAAGGCCTTTTCCAACCTGAGCAATTCTGTGATTACTATTTCAGTATTATTAATTGCAATGGATTCAGGAAAAGCAGAAATTCCAACTCATCTAGTTGAACAATTTTTTTCCCCTTAAAGTGACTTTGTTCAATTCTGTTTTGCTGTATCCTATTGGAAAACAAAACAAACAAGTGGCAACCATCACTACATCCATCAAGATTATGCTTTGCTCCTTAAAAACATTATTTTTTATGTCAGAAAAGACAACCACTAGCAAAAGTTTCTAATAGAAGTTAGTCCTTTACAACACAAAGTAAATCACTTTCTTTTCATATTAATTTAAATTTCTCCTTCCTCACCCAGTACTTCTGATGGAAAATAAGAATTATTATTTACCATGGCTTTATGGAAGTTAATGTCTATGAACTCTCAAATCTGGACCATTTATGTAATGATACTGCCACGGGATTACCCTAACAACCCTGACAGAATGGAGCCATTTACGTTACCGTAGACAAACATATCATGTATGTTCTGCCTGCCTTAAAACATTTTATACAACCCATTGCAATCATCAGCCTGCTTTTAGTGTGCTCCCACTGACACAAAGCATGCATGCAAAACATATTAGTCATTTCCATCAATAAAGTGCAATTTCCTTCAAGCCCTGTGTTGTATAATATTAAACACACTTAACACTTGAAATGTCATGGTACATTTATCTCAATTTTCCCTTCAAGTTTTTAAAGAGTAAAATAATTACTGGCAGTATTTAGCTGAATAACAAAATATTCCCCACTTGCAACATGATGCATGAGTTGCTGCCTCTTTCCCTATACTTATTTAACTTTGTAAACTTCCCTCGCAATCACAAGGGGAAGACTGAAACAACAATGCTGTTTTTTTATTTTCTTCATTTGTTATTTGAAATATTGTTTTATTTGCAAATTCCATTTGCCTGTAATCCATGTGCCAGTTGTCAAGGCTTCTCTGTACTGCCTGAATAATAAGCCGTGAAGCAAACAAGTATTGGGATAAATAAATATATAAACAAATTGTGTAATGATTTTCACTCAAATACCACTCAAGTTGGTAGGAGGGGGCAGTCAAGTGTCAAGTTGTTAAATATCCATAATCACTCCAATAATCTTTGTCACCGTGTGACAAACACTATGTTCCTACCCCACCGTGTGATTTCTTTCCTCCTCTGACAGAATGACAGCAGGTAGTAATTGTGCTACTCAAACGTCAGCCTACACACAACATTGTTCACAAAACTTACTTAGGAATATTAAAAAAACAGAAGAATGAAAAGGAGTGGATTGTCATATTACTCATCTATATTTAGATGATGTCCTTTATAATCCTCACATAATTTCAGGAACTGTACACAGAACTGAGAAATGCAGAGAAGCTTCTGAAGTCTTTTCCTAGTAGCTGCTATTGCTAAGGAACACTTTGTCCTTTCTGCGAAGCAGCTTCCTCTAGAACACTCAGAAAACGCAAACAGACATTTTCTTGAATTGGAACATTTGACTCTGATACCGGAGGAGAATCAACAACTGACCTTTCTCAAATGCAATTTAATCCAGATCCATTACATTTACATCTCAGTAGTAAAAAAACAGCTTTGCTGCAGGGGGAAGGGGAAATGACCTAAACATAGAGTATGGAAAAGCAGAGAACAAAAGGAAGGAAGGGAGAAAGACAAGGAAGCAGCACCACAGACCAGCCCGCTATAGCTAAAAGCAAAAAACACTTCAGTTGTCTGTCAGTCCCAGAACACTGCCTTATCATAAACCAGGAAAGTAAGCAGAGCTCAGTACCATGGCAACATCTAGTTCCTTAATTACCAGCCAAGAAGGCTTCCAACACAAACAATGGAAACACATATGACAAAAACTGTTTCTTGACTTCTCCGCAGCAATGCAGACCGTAAGAAAGACAACAGCAATGGGACAGGCACACAAAGCCAACAATTCCATTCAGCAGCGAGGAGCTTCCATGAAATGATTAAAGAACTCTCACAGCAAAAACATCACCAAAGTAATACTTTATTAACCTACCTTTCAGTCGATGACTTAAAATCTGTTCCAGAATGGCTGCAAAATTATTAAATTCAGGAGAAGAGTCATCTATTGTCTCAAAGCAGGAACGGTCAATCAAGGTCTTGACTGAAAACCTAGAGCAAAAGCAAAGTACAATCACAAACAATGTTTATAACTGCTAGGACAATAGTTTGTACAAGACAAATGAACAAAAACCCAGAAAACTACCTTGGTTTCAAAGTTCAGTTAAAGCAACACAGCAAGAAATAGCATGGAAATACAATCATCACCACCTGTCTTTGGCATAAAGTCTTAAAAATGACAAGAAAACACAAAATACTTTGTAGGTAAATGTGAGAGGACAAGAAAATAACTAGCTGAAATATTTTAGAGAAGCTGGAGAAAAAGCAGCAATTAAAAGCATTCAATACCAATTTACTTGACACTTCCCTCAATAGCCCTTTCATTCCTAAAATGCATGCACAAGAATCAGAAGTATAAGCTTTATTCTGAGAACACTTTAATTTTATCCTAAGCAAGAATAATCCAAAGGTATTATAAAACAATGCATTGTTCTGCAGCTGTCTCTGTGCATTAACTTGGACAGGTTGATTTCCTTGAGAACGCTGGTAATCTCTACTCAGCATCACATTAATCCATTGTTAAATCAGAAAAGCTATCAATTTAAATGATGTAATATTTGAAACTGAAAAGGCTGTATCAAGCCACTGTCAAAAGAAAACAAGAAGCAACTAAATACAGCTAACATTCACTAATAGTTACATCCACACTTACACATCTTAATTCCTTTTGAAAAGAGGACAACTTAAGCCCCTAAAAACATGACAACAACATGCTTTTCTCTTGCCATCTCCACTTTATTATAATCGGTTTTTGCATTCTGCTCCTTGTTCTTCAGTTTTCAGTTTCAAGGCAAGTTTCACATGTCCTTAACTTTGAAAGTAATACATTTTTGAGTTGTCCATCGTTGCTTTCTGCAACAACATGTATCTGTACTAATAGAGCCATACTGGAGCCCAAGGACATCATTTCATCACACCTGGATTTTGATGGTACCAGCTCAGGAAGTTCTTGCTCTGCTCATCCCCAATCCTGCGCCTGAGCACACCTGATGGCTGTACCATGCCTACAACTTTGCACGGCTACTCTAGACTGCACTTTTAACACTTGAGAGCAGTGGAGTAACTCTAAACTACGGATACACTCATCACAGACATGGTTCACAGCACCTCAGCACTGACTATGGCACAGGCACAGAAGCAGCACACACAGCAGGAACGAGGCTCTCTCAGCCAGCTGTACTGTCTTCAAATGCTTTCTACTGTAAAAGCAACTTCCCTGCAACCCTAGTGCAGAGAGCACAGCTTCCTGATGCCTATTTACAACATGAAACTGTCCCTAATTTTGCTCAAACTGAATTGGCATGCACATAATCCGAGAGTTTTGATTCAGTTACACTATAATACATAAACCTGTGAATGAAGACCCTTCATCCTACCCTTCCTGCAGGCTTCTGCTGTAGCTGCAGTGGTTTTGGCAGGGCAGGAATCAGGAGGGAAGAGCTTGGGGGAGGAAGCTCCTTCTGCTGTGCCATGTTATGACTCAGTTTTGAACTCCTCCACTTCTTCAACCAGTTTTAAGTAGGTGAGAGACAAGTACTCCCATGAGAAAATCTATACCTAGTAAGTGCCACTGCTATTCATTACTTGAAGGGCAGTAATGATTGCTTTCCCAAAGCCATACCACAACTAGGGACTGATTAGAAACAAGGGTCCAACAGCTCATCATCATTAATGGCTATCTTTTAAAATGCTTGTATTACTGCCACCCCCTCTCTTTAGAAGTATTAGTTTTCATCTCTCCGTTCTACACATTCATTAAAACCTTAAACAAGCTTTACAGCTAGAGCGAGCATGGCTGAAATTGGCTTTTGAGAGAGTTGCCAGGGAGTGTAAGTGTGGACACCTCACTTCTACAGATCGGGGCGACAACAGTGCAAGTAGGCAAAAACTGAGCAGCTGGAAACTTTCTGGGGGTAATTTAACTCAGTCATTAAAGTCTCACATGTTATTTCCAGTGTACAGCCCCTCAAAAGAAAGCCCACACTTTTTTGCTCTGTTACCTAGAACTACTAGGGGAGCAATGGGCAAGAAAGAAAAGGTCAAATATGAGATACACATGAGCTATTAAGAAACAACGTGCAAGTAAACACAACAGAATCGAAGGTTCAGGATGAGCAGTGTTCTTGTTTTCCTTTGTTGCTCCCTACTCCACGTTATCTTCTACTGGGCTCCTACAATGGCACTGCACTCTGGAACAACAGGCTACACACACTGCAGAGGGCAACAGAAACTGTTCCAAACATGTGAAAAGCTAAAGAGACTTGAAAACAAACTTACAGTGCTCTAGGTTGAACTACTTCGGTGAGCTGCAGTGGCAGAGGAATGATTTATTCCCCCAAACTATTGCTCCCCTGCAACAACAGGGTTTTGACTTCTGCTGCTTTTCATTTAGTTTTGTATTCTCTCTCCCCTCCCTCTCATTCCATTCAGTAATTACCATTAGAGAGATTCCAATACCATTACTTCTAGATTATCTCTATGATGCTTTCAGATCCCTCCATATTCGTTTCTGTCACAAAGGCAGTCCTGTTTGAGCCAAAGAAACATACAGAAACAGCAGCATTCTCCAGCCTTAAGCAGAGCTTCTGAAGCATTCTTGATTAGAAACAATTTACAGAAATGTTTGGGGAGTAGGTTCCTCCACCACTTGTCAAATTCTTTGGACAACTCCAAACTAAAGCCAAATCTTTTCTGACTATATTCAAACTCTGACTATATTCATATTAAAGACATATGAAGCAGAAAGAGGTTTCTGGTCAGAAAAGGAAGGAGAGTAAAAATTTAACTGCTGCATGAATGTTACTTTTCATTGGAGGATTCTGATACTTTCAGTTTTCAGATGAATGGATGGATGTCTTCAAATTTAATTTGTTTGTAATCTGGGAATCAGTGTAAAATATGTCAGTGTAAAATATTTATAAGAACATAAACTACTAAAGTAGGAAAGTCCCCAGGATGAGAAATGAATATTCCTTATCTTGTAGAATACTGATTGTATGTAAAGTCTGACAGTTCGTTTATGGGTCAGCGTCACTGAGATGCAACACTCCTATACGTATTGGCAAAATCACCATTTTTCCTGCCAGTTGTTCAATTCTGCATCAGGATTCTGTATTTATGCTAAAAGCCTCGCTTCCAAGGCCTCTCTCTGATTTTCTGGTGATTCTGTTTTTATATGAAACTTTGATCTGTGGATCTGAAGGAGGAACAGATGAAAACAAAATGAGCGACCTCCAAATTTCAGGTCTACTTTGGAACGTGTAAGGCATCAAAGTTTAGAGACAAAAGGTAGGGAGAGGGACAGATTTTAGAACCATATATTGCTTATTCAAACAAACAAAAAAAGATAGAAATCATTGCAATTTAAATCACCTCTGTGCAGTTACACAAGCACAACCACCTATTTTCTCATACAATTAGTTTGGGGAAGCTATCATTACTTCCTGTGGCTACATTGCCACTCAACACTTTACTAAAAACCATCTGTTCCTTCCAAAACTGTATCTGTAAGAAACTACCCACAATGGCATGAAGAGTCAGATACCATTGCTGTACAAAAAGACTAAAAGCTTTAAAACCTGCTTTAATAAATTAATAAATAATTTAATATTTAATAAATTAAATAGAAATCTGCTAAATTGAGGCTTTGACAAAAGAGCTCATTAAATTATTAGAGACTGTTCCCAGACGGTAATTCAAATGAACGTCTTCCTTCTAACCTCACACTTTCTTCAGGTAGCAAGTATATAATATAATTCAATATAACTGAACAATTCATCAGAGCAGTTTTTACCAGGACCATCTCATTGCCAGAAGTTTTGGACTGGAAAGGACTATAGGCACTCTCAATATTGATTTGAATATACCTAAAAGAAATAGCACTTTTCAGTAACAGCAAATGTGTAATAACTACAGGAAGACAAGAAATATTGGAAACATTTTCATTTAAACTGACGGAAGAAAAGAAACAAATGTATGCATTTCATAATAAAAAATACTTCCTTCTCATCATGTTATTCAAATCCTTAAGCTGTCTTGACAAACAATCATCTTCAGGATTTGAGAAGATATAGCAAAATTACACTGTTTTACTGATAATAGTAAGTATGTCAATTATGTTTTCTGCAGTACCTCACCACTTCATGTGCTTGAGTGAACTCTGTTTTCTAAACTTCTTTAAGTATGTCACACCATGACAAGTACATAGAAGAAATAAACTGAATAATGAAATGTAACAGCACAGCCTGCAAGAGTCTCTTAAACAAGGAGGGAGCACAAAATGACAAGATGTATAGAATACAGGATACTCCCTTAAAAACAATTGAGTATATCCTGCACAACTGCACTACTACTTGTTTTCCCAAGCCCATGGGTTGACAATGTCTGTAAAGGAACAGCAAAAGTTGCAGCGTTCAGTTGTGAAGACACACAACGATCTGCTGGTTCACAGAACCACAGAATGGCTTGGACTGAGAGGGACCTCAAAGCTTACCCAGTGCCATGGGCAGGGCTGTCCCCACCAGCTCAGCTGCCAGAGCCCATCCAGCCAGCCCCGAGCGCTCCAGGGATGGGGCACCCACAGCTCTGGGCAGCAGTGCCAATGCCTCACCGTCTTCTGAGTGAAAAATTCCTCCTTAACAACTAACCTACATCTCCCCTCTTTTAGTTCAAAACCGTTCCCCCCTGTCCTGTCACTATCTGCCCACGTTAAAAAGTCGGCCTCCTGGGTACGCTTAAAAATTGTGAGAACTTTCATTGTAGCTCACGTAAGACTACAGAAAACCTTCTCCAGGTTTGCTCGATGCCTTAAAAATCTACCAACTGCAACAAACGGAACGGCATCATTGCTATCAGCGCGTTTGTGCGTTTCAAAGTTTGCAGTGATGTAACGGGGCAGCACCGCGCGCTCGGAAACGCCGTGAGTTTCGGCACCGCCAGCAGCAGCGGAGCGCTTACAGGACGCGCCGCTAAGCGCGGATGAGCTCAGCGCTACGAGGCTAAAAGAAACTGCTTAACGCAGTCGGTCTCGCGCGTCCCGCGGATCTCCCGAGGCAGATTTCGGGGACAGAAACCCCAGGGGCAGCCTCTGCGGCACGGCGCTCCTCGGCGGAGCCGCTGCGTGACTCCGGCACGAGAAATCCCCGCCGCGCGACGGCCGCTCGCCCCGAGGCGGGAATCCCCGCTCCCGTTTCGAGGGTTCGGAGCCCGGCCGGCCGGCGGGACGCCCGGCCTTCACCTCCCGGACGGCCCGGCCCAGCCTCCCCCCGAGGCACGGCACGGCTCGGCCCTGCGCGGCAGCTGCGGCCCCGCCGGGAGCCCGCAGCCCCCGGCCCCGGCGACCAGCGCTGGAGGCGCTGAGTCAGAACGGAGGTTCCGTCGCCGGCGACGGCAGCCCTGGCGCGGACGCCCATCCGAAGGCGGCCCCGAGGCCTCGTGCGGGGGAGGAGGAGGAGGAGGAGGAGGAGGAAGACGCCGCGGGCGGGAGGGGCGGGAGGCGCGGAGGGGAGGCGCGGCCGGAGGGCAGGGCCCGGGGTTCACCTGCAGACCGTGATCAAGTTCCGCCTCTCCACCGCGGCGTTGCGGGACGGAACGCTCTTCCTGCGGGCGGAGGCGCCGAGCCCCCCCAGGCCGAGGGACGCCATCTCGAGCGGGGGCAGCCGGAGCCGCCGCAGCCGGCGCGGAGCCTTTGTTCGCGGCCTCCCGGGCTGGGGGATGCCGCGCTCGCCGCCGCCCGCGGAGGAAGAGGAGGCCCCCGCGCCGCCCCCGCTCCGCCCGCCGGCCGCTCCGCGCGGGAGCAGCGCCCCGAGGCAGACGGCAGGCCGGGCGAGGAGGCGCCGGGGTCCCCGCGGCGGGGGCGGCTCGGCCCCCCCCCCTGCCGGCAGCCGGGCAGCCACAGCGCTCGCAGCCCCAGCGCCGCAGAGCGCCGGCGCCGCCAGCCAATGGGCGCGCGGGAAGGGCGCGGCGCGGCGCCGCCAGCGGCCGCTGCTTCAAAGGGGCGCGCGCCGCTAACGGAAGCGGCCGGAGCCGGGCGCGGCGCGTGAGTCGCCGGCACCTGGGGCGAGGGGCGGCGGGCTGCGCGCGCGGCCTTCCGCCTCTCCTTCCGTGTCTTTTCTCCTTTGTGCCCTCTCGTTCGGCACGTGTCCGTGACGCTCGGGTCCTCGAGTGAATCCCGGGCCCTACAGTGGGGGTCTGCGCGCCTCTCCCGCTAGTCACCAATCTGTTTCTTAGCGAGGCGCTGCCGAGCGTATGAGAGCTGCTTCCATTACCAGAGGTGGTGTCGGGCTTTGAACTGCTTGGAGCTGCCGGGTGTTGCTTTCATGGAATCGCACAATCATGAAGGCTGAAAAAAACCCTCTGAGAGCACCTAGTCCAGTCATCAACGCATCCCTACCGAGTCCGCTGACCCAGTCCCTCAGTACCACAGCTACACGTTTCTCGAGCTCCTCCAGGGACAGTGGCTGCAGCACCTCCCTGAGCAGCTGCGTCACTGCCTCACTGCTCTTTCAGAGAATAAAATTTTTCTAATGTCCAAGCTGATCCTCCCCTGGGTGCTTTATGGCATATGCAACTTTAAAAGCCACAGCTGTGGTAACATGAATGAAATTGCAATGCGCTCTGCAGCCAAAGTGCAGGTACTTGTCCCTGCCCTGAACAAAGGTGTTGCTGCTAGCCTGGCTCCGAAGAGCTCTATGTATGGAGCTTTGCCTTTGTGTTGAATTGTGTGAGAGAGACAGAACAAAACAAAGCTCTGGGCACTGAGGTACGAGGTAACACAGCTCCTCCGAGGTAACACAGCTCCTCCGAAGGACAACCATGCAGTGATCTGCTGTGGGTGTGAAGGATGGGATGCAAGTCAGTCGGGGGGATGTGACACTGTATGTGTTTTCTCTCCTTCCTACTTAATGATAAAGGAATTGTGCATGGTAAGGTTGAGTGGTTATATAAACCATAGTACTTTCAGTTCCTCTCAATTATGCATAAATCTTTCTGTTCAGGTCTAAGTATCCATTCCTATTCATGAAGTATAAAGAACTTTGACTTTCTGGGATACAAATCCACTTTGGACTGTGGTTTCCTCGGAGAATATAACACATCAATAGATGAAGCTGTTTCTTGTCTATGCTATCAGACAGAGCTCTGTTCAGTGCTTGGCTAATGATTAAGTCATCTGAAGCAAAGCTGTGTTGAGGTTAAAACTTTAAGAAATAAATTTCCATGTAGATGGCCATGTTTTCGCGTGTAATACAAAAATGCCTTTTTTTCTTTTTCATTAGAAAAGCTTAATAAATTGTTGAAAGAGTTGTTGACATTTATAAAAATTTCCAGTTCAGTCAACAAAAGATCATCAGATATTACTTGATATGCTAAATTAGTTTGAGCTAATCTTTATTCAACTTTATTTTCAATGATAGGTAAATCTTTCCACATTCCCCGAGGTAAAACTTCTTCTTTGCTTGGGTAGTTTTTGTCACTAATATTATAACTCAAATACACCATGAAGTAGTTCATTTTTGTGTTTCATGCCTCTCTTCCTTCTTCCTGTAGAAACAGCATAAAAGAAGGGGGAGTCACAGGGGAGCCTGAAGGAGGATATTCTTTCTACCTTGGGACCAAGAGTAGCAAATATTGTAGATGAAATTGGTGTAATAAACAAGATTGAAATAAGTTATTGTTCTTTACTCATTCCCTTGCAGAAAATCAAAGAAAAATGCTGAATGCATTGCTTGTTGACTCTCAACTTGCCTTCAGGTTTCTTTCTGCTTCTCAGAGTCTTTGCTGAAGCTCACTGCCTCTGCAGCTTCTATTAAAAGATTCACTCAGCTTGAGAAATCTTTTGATTAAGTTCAGGCTGAGGCTAAAGCTGAAGATTTTATCTCTGCAGATGAGGGACCTGAGCCACAAGGCCTGTTATTCTTGACCTTATGATAAACATACAGGATATTTACAAATAGTTTACCAAAAAAAGAAATGGGAGTGCTTCTGTACATACGTCACAAGCAAAAGTATCCTCTCCATTCTTTCCCTTTGCCTTCTTTCCACAAACTGCAAATTTTTATTTTTGTACTTGAAAGAGACTTAAGGTGAACTAAGGTTTACCTGTTGGACCAAGATTTAGGTTCAGTATTCAAAGGCCTCAAGTAAACAAACTTTCTCAAGCATCATTGCTTTCTTTTAATTATTATTTACTTATATTAATCTTGGCTAGTCACCAGTGCTCCCAAGCTGCTCTCACTCCTTCTCTCCAGTAGGATGGAGGGAGAAAATACAATGGAAAAACTTGTGGATTGAGGTAAGAACAGGCAGGTGTCTACTACAAACTGGCAGATTGAGGCTAAGTAAGTGAAGCCTTATAATCACAGGCCATGGTTGTTAGCAAGGACTTTGTCTTGGGTGAAATACCACAATGCATGGTGCTGACTCTGTAGAAAAGAACCAGGGGATCCTATTGAGCAAGCTGAATGTAAGTCAGTGGGGGCATCTTTGGTGATGAAGGTTAAACATATAGTGAGCTGATATTAATAGATATATAGCAATTAGTGCCCTCTGGTATCACAAAATCACAGAATGTCTGTGGTTGCAAGGGACCTCTGGAGGTCTTCTTGTCCAGCCTGCTGCTCAAGAAGAGACATTCGGAGCATCTTGCCCTGGAGTACACAGGGAAAGTGTGTTGGGAAGAACCTCCAAAATAGCATCTAGCTGGGCTGCTCTGTGTAAGGAAGACTTTAACATAGCAGGGTCCTCTAAAATAACTGAAGCACAAGCTGTGTTAGGAAAGGCTGAGAGCTGTTGTGGTTTCTTTGTTGTTTTGCTTTGTAGCTGTTGTTTTTTTTCCTCAAGAAAATAGGCTAAGAGAAAAATCTGTCAGCTGCCTATAGGGAGGATAGAGGAATCTGAGTTGGGATCTTCTGAAGAGTGTATAGCAAATGGCTGAGGAGCTACTGTCACAAACTGCAGCAAGGCGTTAATACTTGGAAATAATCTTAACAGCTAAGATATTCAAACATTGGAACAAATTGTTCAAAAAGGTGGTAGAATTTTGGCTTGAAGATACTCAAAGCTTAACTGAATGACCAGTTTGAATACCCCCATCTGATTTCAAACTTGGCCCTGCTCTGAACAGGTAAAATGATTTCTGTCAGTCACTTCTATCCTAAATTGTTTTGTTCCACATTTGACAAGTGTCATAGAATAATTCCTATAATTTTGTAACAAAAAATACGTACAGTGCTAAAGTTTCTGAAAGCAAAATGCATAATATTAATGACAACACTGCCTCTTGTGAGGTGATGCACAGAGTTCAAGTGGTTGCTTCTAATGATGTTAGCTTTAAAACATTAGCAACATACAAAGAGTGTGTGAGTCCAGAGTATATGGCTTTGCTTAGAGTCTCTGTAAAGCATGGGAATGAGTAAAGAATGATTCTGAAAAGCATATTAAGACATAATGGGAACTAACTCCTCATTCATTTTAACAATGTGAAACTGGAATGCATTATTTAAATCATTCAGAAAATATTACTGAAGTGTTACCATGAATAAATACAACAGCTATGACTGGTGTAAAAACAAAGAGGCATATTAATTGGTTAAAATCAATTTAGATTCATGAACAGCATGACACTACATCTTAAAGACTCAGAAATATTTCTCGGGATTAAATGAGTTCAGTCAATGAAAGGATACCTTTTAAGTAGATTATTAAGGATATTTCTTAATCAAAAAGGCAATGATGTGATCTCCATTCAAACTTGACAGAATTCATTCACTGGAATTATTTTCTGAAGGCATAAATATGCTGAAAAATAAAAACTAGACTTCATTCTCTGTGAGTTTGTGTTTTAACAGTCTGTGACTCTGGAATTTTGGTTCTAAACAAATTAAATATTTACAAGTTTCAGTTCTGTTTGAACAAGCATACTATGGAGTTGTTTACTGAGTCTGGCTAGAATGGAGTTAATTTTCTTCAGAGCATCCTGTGTACTGCAGTTTGGATTTGTGACCAAAGCAGTGTTTATGACCAAACCAATGTTTTAGCTATTGCTGCTGACAGTGTTTACACAGCGTTAGGATTTCTCACACTGCCCTCCAGCAATTTGGTTGGGGATGAGCACGAAGGAGGGAGGGGACATGGCTGTCCCAGCTGACCCGAAACAACCAAAGGGATGCTCCGCACTGTGTGACACGCCCAGCAGTAAAAGCTCAGAAGAGGAGGAGCAACAAGAGGTATCTGGGGCTTTGGTGTTTGTCTTCTAAAGTAACTGTTAGGTAATGAAGCTCAGTTTTCCTGGAAATGACTGAACATCTGCCTGCCAACAGGAAGTAGTGAATACATTTCTTATTTTGCTCTCTTTGTTCGCATGTGCTGCTTTGCTTCGCTCATTAAGCCGTCTTTAACTCAATGCAATGTATTTAATTTTTGTTCTGGCTTTTGCCTGTGCAATTCTCTTCACCTACATTACCATAGGGGAGACTGAGCAAGCAGAACTTAGCTGCCTATTGGGATTAACCCACAAGTAGAATTGCAGTAAGAGAAAATGAAGTTGTTACCAAGACCACAAATCAGACTTGTTCATTTTGGAGCAAAATAAAAACTGCTTGTAAAGCAGTTGCTATAAGGTGTGATATGTTGTACACTTGTACTGCTGGGAAGTTTTGAGTTTACCGATAGCTTGGTATTTTGTTCAGTGTATTTTGTTCAGTGTATAGATAGGAGAGGCATTTGTGCTTGTTTTGTTACAATCTGAAGTCTGAACTCTGAAGTTTTGTGGGTTTTGTTGTTGTTGTGTTTTGTTTCTGTGCTGTTTTGCTGTCATCATCCTGGGGAAATCTAGGTGTATTTGATCAACTGATATCTGTGCAGAAACCTGGTAGGTATCATTTGGAGTTTGTCACGCTTTTGCAAATCAGTTTCCTTCATGAATTCACAGAATCAGTAAATTTGTCAGATGATTTGTAGATCTTGCTTTTCATCATTATTGCTTATTCTTATGTCTTACAAAACATTTCTACAAGTTCCTTTAAAATTAATGCTTGGGGTTGTTTTAGAAGATGGACTCCTACCTGCTTTCTTTTTCTAGCATACCACTATATTTAATTCTGTGGAAGAGGTAGAAGAAATTGGGGGAGAATGCCATATGCCTTTTTAGTGCATGCTTGGGTGACAGTCAGGAACAGATGGAGAATAAGACCAAGACCTAAATTTTACCAAACAACATAACCAAACTAGAATTAGCCAAGAAAAATAGTCACTTCAGACACTGAAATATGAAATTCAGTTGGAGATTGCTTGCCTGAAATTAATAGGAAAGCAATATTTGAAGGTATCATGATTTGAATACTGGAAGACAGCTTTTGAAAGCTGCACTTACAGATCATAAATGAGATCACTTCTTTATGTCATGGCACATAAAATCAATTTTAATGTTTACTTCGCATGATTTTTTTTTTTACATGTTCCACAGTTACTATAAGATATTGCACTTTTCCTTTGTCTTCAAATATTTACGTTGCCACTTGGTGGCCTCATTTGATAAGGCAATAAACAATAAAAATCTCAGTTAAGATCCCTTCTTTTTCCCATGGTGTGCAATTCAAATCTTGTTTTTCTTCCTCTATATCCAAGAACAGCGCATCACTTGTTGTGTATGCTGTGTTGATTGCTGTGGTTCTTGAAGGCCTGAATTGCTGACGTTGAGATGATCAGACCTGAAAGCTCTTCAATTAGGGACAGAACTGAACTGGATGACTTTTCTCCACTTTCTTCCTTGCAATTCTCTGATGTTTTTATATTCCTTAGTCCTTTCTCCCTCAAAACAAGATCTAATCTACTTCCAGCATTGTTTAATGTATTTTTAAGACTATAACTTGTTCTGTTTTTGCCACACATCTTTCCCACGTATTTTGCATCCTTTATTTGTATTTTCCTGACTTTGTTACTTGCAAATATGTATATTTTTCATCTTTCTTATGAAACCATATCCCAGATCTCTGTCGCTTTGGAAAATGTTCCTGTCAATGATGGGATGGAAACTCAGTTCACAGTGCCTTAATACTCAGTCCACAGTGTCCTACTCTGCTGATTTAAGGCTCTGAGCAAGAAGCCAAAGTGTCATTCTCCTCCAATCTTGTCTCATGGTTTTTGTGCAAATACTTTATTGGTTTTTGCAATTGCATAGCGTCATGATCTTCTGGACCTCTATATATACGTATATTAAAAAAAAAAAAAAAAAGAGCAGTTACATAACATAAGTAATGATTAATTATTAAAATAGCAACATTTAAAATATCTTCGCTTTTTCTTAATTCATTTACCTTTTTGTAATTTCATTAAAACTGTTCAGGCACTTTTCTGTTTTGGAATTTTACTTGATAGAATTAAGGTCCTGCTTTATCTGTAATTGGAGCTGGTCCATCCATCCAGTTTACTCCTGAAGTTGAATTCTTGCATGGAAAATATGGAACATTACTTTCTACCCTACTTGCCATTCTGCAGAATAGTGGTTTGTTCCTTTTTGTTTATCCATGCATTGAGTGTTCCTTCCCAGTTGATTTACTGTAACAACATTAATCTCTTCCCAGTGTTTGTTCAGGGTCTGTATCTGCTCCTCACTTAAAACATTAGGCTGAATTATTATTTTCTCCAAAGCATATCTCTAAATCACATGAACTTATAAGAAGCTGTTTTGGCCCACAGAGCATTAAAATGCCACGGTGATGTGGTATCCCAAACTTTTCCATAATTTTTCAACATTTTACTTAGCACTCATTCAGTAGGTCCATTTGTTGATTCAGTTTACTATGAATTAGGCCTTACCAGCAATGTGAAATCTTTCTTTTATTTCCAGACCTCCAATTTCATGATTACCCTGGAAAATACGTTCCTTGCTCCAAATCAATTTATTGGTTTAAATTGTATCTGGAAAATAGAATAGTAAATACTTACATTTTGGGAGACTTTGCCGTAGATTTCTGGACTGGCACTGTCTCAATCTGTTTTGTCAGTGAATATAGTATTAGAGCAGTATTTAGCCCCATTTCACGTGGTAGTGGGTGTGATAAACTGAGACTACTTGTACTCTAGTGTAGTGCATTTGTATCCCAGCTTGTAGTTCTTGAATTCTCAAATATTTTAATAGCATTTTTCTTTATTCTCCAGATGGGGTTATTCACAATTGCAAAAGTTAAGTAATTATGTACTCATCTGTCTTAATATTGGGCCAATCAGCCATCTTCTAATACCCCCTTTTGCATTTAAGCAGTCCCTGGATTATTTTGTTCGTATGTCTGTTGCATCTACTGTAACAGATCTGCTTGCTGTGTATGTAGTGCTCTTTATCTACAAGCTGCCAGGTCCTGCACTTTGGTCACAACAACAGCACGCAATGCTACAGGCTTGGGGCAGAGTGGCCAGAAGGCTGCACTGAGGAAAAGGACCTGGGGGTGTTAGTTGATAGCTGGCTGAATGTGAGCTAGCTGAGTGCCAGGTGGCCAAGAAGGCCAATGGCATCCTGGCTTGACTCAGAAATGGTATAGTCAGCAGTACCAGAGAGATGATCATCCCTCTATACTCAGCACTGGTGAGTTCTTTTCTGATCTTAATGATTCTGCGATTCTATGATTCCAAGTGTTTGTTATCTGGCTACACCAATCTGTTAGTCTATAGAAGTTAGGACCCTGTGCTTTGCCCATTTATTAGCTTCTTTAGTAATCACCCCTCAGTTCCCTCATTTGTGTGCTGTAAAGCACTTAGATCTTTGATAACTTACTTTGTACTATTTTGTTTTGTTTTCAATATGGGTATTCAAATTTTATGACTGTTGGAATGACTGCAATCTTAGCAAGGGTATCTGCTTGAGACTATTTCAATTACACTGCATTTGTGTTTTTTCTTTTGGTAATGTTTTCACACGAGATGCATATTCTTCTTCCTCACTGAGTTGTTAGGGTTTTTTTCCTGTTTTTATTTTGGAACTATTGTTAGGACTTCCTTTTCATGATCTGTAGCCTCTTAGATTAAGATACTGTGTTTGCAGGTCTTTATTACTCTGAATTGGTAGCCAAATAGTTAAAGCTTGTCATGCGCTATCTGAAATTACGTACAAAGCCAAGTCATTTCCTTTAGATTCCTCTTTTAATGTTGTTAGTGGAGCTTTTTAGCTCTGCTGCTTCTGCAGAGCTACTCTGCGGAAAGAAGAAAACACCTTACATTTCACAAGAGTTGCTGCATGTCTAATAGAGGATTTTGCATCTTCCCCATAAAAACTGGACCTATCTGTGAACCATGCTGAACATTCTGTGGCACAAAATCAGCAACAGAGCTTTTATCTGATAACAGTTGACAGGTAAGAGATATGTAATCAGATAAATTGCACTTTTGTTCTTTTCCTAGTTAACAGGCTGTATAGGACTGGTTCTAAAACCTTGTTGTCTTCTACAGAAATTTCTTAGTTTATAGAAGCCAATGTTTATCCGTCTAACCTAGGGTTTGATACATGTCTGGCTTTTACTTTTCAGCAGATTATGTAGCTTAGCAGAGTATGTTGTGTGATACATATTACTGCAAAACCACCTCTAGTGATACATCCTGTAAGATCAAATGCCTATCTCAGTGTTAAATTTGTCTTTTCACGTGCAGTAAATTTCTTTCCCATTTATCTTAAGACTCTAATGCCAAAGATTGTAACGTGCTTCTTATTTTAGTGTGTTTTTGAAACAGTGAAGTCCTGAGATCTAGATCATCAGTGTCTAGCTGAACAAGAAACATCTTAAAATAGTTCAGGTAGCCACAGACAGGGTTTGAACTTGAGGTTTTCCTTCTTTCTGTTCTTCTTTCTGTGCTTTGTCATGAGATTTCTTCACTGAGTTGATTAGCGGTTTACTGATTTATGCAAGTAAAAGGATGTTCTCACGAGAACTTAAGAATTTGCAAAAGTGATTATTATACACTTATTCCTGTGGGCGTTAAACTGTTGGCTAAGTTCTTCTCTTCAATGATACCAGTGTTGCTCTCCCTTCTCCATCTAATATTGTTCCTGAATACTTCACTTCAGATTGTTCCAACTAAATTTTATCATGATTATCTTTTAAAACCTGGGTTTTGTATAACGCTAATGACTTCTTTGGTATTTTCCCATATTTTCACATCAATTTTTTTCCTTGTACCAACATATCATCCACATATGATGTGGTGTGACACTTATTAATAATAATTTCATCCACATTTGATTTACATAGGTCATTTTGAAAGTGACATCTCCTGTTTATTTCCATGGTAACTGCAACAGATACAAAGAGCACAATAACATTGTTTGATAGAGCAAATTTTCAGCTACAAAATGCTTCTTTTCAACACAGTCACCACCACTAGCTCTGCATTTTCACTAGTAATGAACAAGAACCGTCATGCCTCACTTGTAAACATCTGCAGTAGCAGAAGTGGCCCACTGTCACCACTGCTGAAACATACCATCCTCTGTTTCACTGTGTTCATGTGCACTGTTTGCCCTCCGTTAACATTCAGCAAGCATTGGTGAATGTCAGCGGGTTTATTTTTTCTGCATGGAGGAATTCAGTTCCATTCCTTTGCTTCATAGATGCTCCTGTGTCAGACGCCATTTTGTCGGAGTGCACAGCAACAAAATGTAAAGGGATATTGGTGGGAAGGTTCAACTGTAGAGCCAACATCCACCTTTGACACTGATCCAATATAATGAAATAGGAGGCATTACTTTTGGAGTAGCCCTACTATTTGATCTAAAAAGTCTTATGATATTTGAACAAATCACTGTTGCTTTCCTCACTGGTACTGTCTTTGTTCAGATAGCAGAATTACAAAGAGAACATTGGTTAAGTCTGTAAGTGAGATATCAGTATCAGTGAGATATTCTGCTGAGTGCTACAAAATTTTCACGTGCCTTTTTTGTCACAAACAACCTGAGAGATGACTATTCATTTAAATGTTAAAAATCCACTGGTAGACTTTTTGTCAAGTGTTCAATACAGAGAAAAAATGAGATTTAAAAATATAGATCTTTGCACTTGCACCTTGGCTTTCTGTAAGCTGTAGATGTTGAGCTGGTGTCTTTCCTCTGTTTCTTGAGGAAGTTGATATTTTTTTCAGTGTGAAGAAGGATCTGGACCTTCAATTAATACACAGCTTCTATTTTTCCACATTTTAACTTACAGGCATACAAAACTTAAGGAAATTCTGTTACCCAAATATCTAGTGTTTTTACTTCCTCCGGATTCCTAATAACAATGCATCAATGACCTGCAGGAATCGCTCCACCCTCACCTCCCACTGGTCAGTACCAATTCCAGAAACATCTGTAGCAAAATCTGTAGCTAATGCATTTTGTTTCATCAGTACAGTGCCAGTATTTCTCTGCTATTTACAAGAGGAGTCCTCCCACTCCTAGGCTCAAAGGAACTCCTGTACTCCAGAACTTGGCAGCTATGTTACTGCAGACAGAGACCTGAATTACAGGTGCTTGAACATTCTTTTATGTGTATGAAACAACATTTATAATTTTCCTGCTTCCCTGAGTTCCAAATGGAAATATTTTCTTTGGAGACTATTTATTGACGTTATAGTCTCAGTGAACATCACAGCAAAAGAGGTAGTTAACATTCTCTCCCTGATCACAACACTAATATTGTTACTAGCCATTCCCATTGGTCACGTATGTAATGTTACCACTAGTGCAGTCTTTGTCCTTAGTCTTTGTCACTGAGAGGTTGAGGTTATGCCTGTGGGTTTCACTGAAAGGAGCCTGTCATATTCTGTAGTTTTCTACATTCTTCCTCCTTACCTTTCTTGTATAAACAGACAAAGCAAACCAGGAAAGAATTTATGGATTCTATCCCATTTTCTCATATCTTAGTCTTCTTTTTCTCAAATTTTACCTTGTTGCTCTCCTGCACTTCCAGTGGTGCTCCCTAAAGGCTATTATTCTGGTGTCCTGTTTTGCAATTACTGTTCCACATCTTTTTTACACAGAGATAAAGCCACACTGGGGACTAGTTTCCTTTTTGTTTTTCTTTTGATCTTTACTCTTAAATGGAGGCTGTGTGTCCCTACTACCTATTTCTGAAAATTACAGTGTGGAGAGAGCTGCTGCCAGACTCTCAGGATTGAGCTTTCCTTACATTCCTTCTTTCCTCCATTACCTTGCCCATTTCTTGAGACTGAGCTTGCAGCTTCTCTCATTTGTACCTTCTTCTCAGTTCACATGTTCCAGGAATATTCTTGCTGACTTATCCCTTGAACAAATACTATTGTGATTCTGTTAACTCCATGGCATGCTTGGATCAATGTCTGTATGCCAATCCCAACAATTTTTCAAGGATGTGTGTAATTTTACATTCTTGTAGTGTTCTTCAAGATGGGATAAAATGCTAGCTAAGTCTCCTTGCAGGGCTCAGTAACTGCTTGGAGATGATACTTAGTAAATTTCATACAGCAGGTTCTTCCTACCATGTAGCGGATAATCATACCTCATTCTGATGCCGCACGTTTAAGAGTATGCAATCTTTCCTAGATAAGGCCAGCTAATTCTTAGTGTCTTCAAGCTACATTATGCAAGTTTCTGAATTTGCTGGCCCAAGGTTTAAACAGTGATTCTTGTTTGTGCTGCAGTCAGGTCAGTTGTTATTATTATCCTATCCCAAGTTTTAGGAGCAATCAAGGAGTAGGCAGTACCGGGAGTCTATTTTTACCATTGCTTTTTTTGCAATTGTGTCACTCATTCACAGAAGCCTATTTTGCTCTTATAGTAACAACAGTAACATAGTTTTCAAGAGAGTTGGGGTCTGAGTTTTCCTGTTTTGTTCTGGAAAGAGAAATGTTAACATATTCATTATGTGTATTGCTCTGAATAATTGACAGTTGTGTCCTGGCTGAATGTTACTGAAGTAAAAGAGCTCCTGGAGTGTGCAGGAATCCACGTGCTGAGAACAGGTTTCAGCAGCTCTTCTCAAGTTAGTAAGTGGCTCACTGCACAAACTGTAAGTTAAACCTAGCTAGTAGAAACTGAGGACTCACTCTTAAACATTGTTAGGATAGTATTTTGTACACAGATCAAAAGAGGGAAACAGGTCCATCTTTAGCAGTGTCTAGATCAAAGTTGATGTACAAGAGAGGGTTTTCATAACATTACTTGCTATTATTTCTACTCATTTTTTGCTATCATTTTTCTTTCTTTCTTTTTTTTTTTTGGTCCATTGCTATTTTTACATGTATATATGTATATTGTTCCTATGAGTATATATGAAGAAGAAAGGGAATTTTCCTCAGTGAAAAGCATTGTTATTGCTTTCCCTCTCTCCTATCATCTTTAGCACATCTATGACTCATATATTATGGCATGATAACCAAGTTCTTATCTTTACCCATGCAATCCATTGGAAGGAGATCATCATACCTCGTTAACCATTGTCAAAATAAGACACTGTTTTTATTGCCATACTAGTACAAATATGTTTTGATCACTGCCATAGCTTTAATCCATCAAGAAAAACAGAATAATAAATTTGACTCACTCTTGGGGTTAAAATGTTTATAGAGAACATCTTACTTTGAAATCTTGGAGTAGGCATTACTCTCCTTTCCTACCTTTACACTTGCGTGAACCCAGAAAAAATGAACTACGTGGCTGCCAGAGGTCAATGAAAAGTGAAATCTGTAATACATTAAGTATTTTTGCCTAAATTAACCTCCAGTATACGATAAGACCATTCAGGCAGTAATGATACTGTACAGTTATCTTCGCTTTTAGAACTTACATAAGCATGTATGTATACCTTCCCTGAGAGACCTACTACTCTTAAACAGTGAAATCTATCTGAAATATGAAAACATGTCCTGTGAAGTGACCCACCATGACAGTGTTCAGAAGCAATATTAGTTGCAGGTGCATTTGGAACAAGATGAAATACCACAGTAACCAATTCTTTTTTTTTTTTTTTTTCCTTGTAAATGTATGATTTTACATACGCGTATGTTAGAATTGGCCTATTGAGTAGGTGTGTGAGAAGCTCCTCCTGGTCCTGTCACACACAGTAATAGGCAGATCTGCTAATCTGTTGGCAAGGTGTTTCAGGACTGACCCAGTCAGATGTGTTCTCTTCCATCATGCACAAAACACCATGGAATGAGTGTTAGGTATAGGACCCAGCCCTGCCGTAGTCCACTGCCAATGCAATGGACTTTTTTGTGAACAGATTATAAGCCATGAGTGTGCCATGGGAGTTTCAAGTTGAATATTAGGAAAAAAATTATTTTCAGAAAGAATGATGATACACTGGGACAAGCTGCCCAGGGAGTTGGTGGGGTCACCGGCTC